TTCTTAGTTCATGTTAACTAAAGTAGTTAACTAATGTTAACTAATGAACCTTATTGTAAAGTGTTACCAAATGACTAATGAATAAATGAATACAATTAATTCAAAATATTAACAAAAAAATATAATAGTATACCAATGACTACATTTATATCTACCCTCATAAAGAGATTTAAACAATATTGTAATTAAACTTTACCTGATGTAAACACAATACACTGATCAAATTGATGCGATTAAGCTCATAATCGTAGCAACCATAATTGTAGTAAAATATGTCTTGCAAACAGGCATGTAAACATCTTACTCTGATTATTGGAAATAATCACATTATTGGTACACATGTAAATGTAGTCAATGATACTAAAATAACTCTGCTGGTTTGGAACGACATTAGGGTGCTTTTTTTTTGTTGACAGAATTTTCATTTTTGAATTATCCCTTTAACTTGTCAGATGTTCACTTAATCTGCTTATTTTCATTTCTGCTGTAGGTGGCGGGAATATCTCTCAGTGTGATATGATCTTATGTCTGTAGAGCTGTAAACATAACCACAGGCCCAATGAAATGAATACCTTGTGCTCAAAATCAATGATTAATAAGGCAGCGTAGCATACTGTTAGGACACCACTGTAACACTATATTTTCACCAGAGCAGCCCGTATCTTTGTCTTTGGTTTGGTTTGGTTTGTGCTCACTCAAAATACCACAAATGCCTACACACTTTTAAAAGTACAATGGAAAGTGGAAATGCTTAATGACTTTACCATGAACCGATCAGCAAATAACTGATGTGCTGTATTAATTATGATTGCATTTGTTTCTTTAATCCACAGCAGTCAACACATCTGATCACACATAATTTTTTGTATGTAATTGCTGGGAAAATCCTGAGAAAATCCAAAGTTGTGTGTGTGTATGTGTGTGTGGAATACTGTCTGCCACCTCTGCAGAGGCAGCAGAATATATTATTTGTCAAACGGCTTCCTCCCTCATTTATTTACCAAAGGTCAATGGCGTGACAACATCTGATATTTATTTCACACTGAATATGAAATATGTATTTTTTATCTTTTTTTATTGACAACTTTTTTTCCTCAACAATATACTAAAGGTCATTGTGAGAAAATAAATGGATTTTTGTTTTGGCAAGCGTTTTTGTGATTCTTTTCTGTGCTGTATGGAAAGGCTTATTTTTTGTTTATTTACCTAAGGATATTCCAGCTATTGAAATAGATTGCCGTTTTATGCAGGGGTATGACTATGAGTAATGGATAAAATATTTTCTTTTTCAATGATCCACGAATACGGGTGTTGTATGCATTGCTATATTTGCTCGCCTTCATTCTTATCAGTCTCAACACATGACAGGCCAGTAGACGAGTGACAATGGGTCACAGAGTCAGCTATTGTTTACGTGGTGACTGAGCAGCTGTTGCACAATAGTCATCTTGTTGTGGGTAAGAACAGCCATTGGCCAACACCACCCAGCCCATGATAACGGTCCCTCAGCCCATTACTGGCCCTATCAGAACTTACTTCTGTCTTCACAGGATGGGCTATGGATGAATGACTCAGCTGCACGGTTTCTCAAACACAATTTCTCACACATGCATGTACAAGGACCAAGCTGAAACATTTTAACCAGCCTGTAGCTTTCGGTTATTTCTAGATTTTATGTTAAAAATAATACTTAGTAGTGTTTTGGAAAATCTAATGTTTGCTTTGCAAAGAGAACACATTGAATCTTGCTTCATGATGACTCTTTAAACTAAATCCAATCTATGGTGTCCCCAAAAAGTATTTGGACACCTAGGCCACAATGCATGAATGTCAGTGCATATAAAACTAAATAACAACCCAAGTAGCATACTGTAATGCAATCAAATGTGCTTGGCCTTTCCTTAGAAGTTCACTTATCTGAGCCACTTTTGCAATGACTTTTAACCATTATGTTCCAGGATCATTTTTAGTGGATGTTTGTGATGCATGAAGTCGGGGTACGTCCAAACTAGCATTTTCCAGAAGTTGCTCCATATTGACACATCTGAAAACCCTTAAATCACCTTGCTGCACGTGCTTAAAATGTAATTTACACTCACTGATAAGATCCAGAGAGACCAGATATAATAAGATAAAATTATCATGCTATTCTACGCACAATTGTTGTATCCAAAATCCCACCACTCACTGGTGCATGCAGGTTCAACTTAAAATAGCCATTTAATGTATGGTCTAAAATGCAACTGTCATCAGCTGTTTTACCACAGGACAGCAATTGCAAGTACATATTCTGTCTTCTTTGCAGGAGCATAACAAGAAGATTGTACAAAGTAGCATTTGTTTAGTAACACTACGAAAGTGAATAGCATGCACAACAATGCCGGTAGAACCTATATAAAGGTCAGTTTTTGCTGTACAAAAATAGAGAATAATGTGTTTTTAAATGTAAATTTAGCTCCTCAATTGTAAGTTGCTTTGGATAAAAATGTCTGCTAAATGAATAAATGTAAATCCAGATTAATGTGGAGGTAGCCTCAGTTCCCCTTAAGTTCACACAGGAGTCGTACCAGAGTAACCACAGGTGTAGCTCATTGCATTAACTAGGGACATAGTCTACTAAGGTGCCACAATACTTTTTTAATTTTTGTTTTATAATTTAAACCTTATACACCTTTTTTTCTAAATGGTTTGTGTGAAAAGTGTGAGTGAGATGTTTTGAAATGCCACTTGGTTTGATATTGGGCTATGAAATGTATTGACATTCACGTGTATATTAAGTGTATCCAAAGTTTTATATTGCTGCCTGCTTTTCCAAAGTAATTTCTCCAAAGTTGTCAAGGCAGAGCCTGAATGTTTTTTTATTATGCATACAAATTGAAATAGATTTCCACTAAATGGCTACAACCTGCCATCTGTTTATCTCGATCTGTTTGTGAATGTTTTTCATAAGCACTCCAGAACAAAATACCAATAATTTGCATCAAAGTGTAGATCAACTTCACTGTTTCTACAAAGAAAAATATCCCTCTTTTCATTAGAAACATTTACACACACACACACACACACACACACACACACAGGTTTGTTTTTGTGAAAAGTGGGGGCATCCCATAGGCAATAAAATCACAATGTGTTCACATCCTGCAGATTGACATACCGATCCTTTATTTGATCCATAGCATTGCCTGCACAGGTTGTAGTATAAATCCACACATATGTGAATTCAGCTGACACAGTCAGTCAGTTTGCTCACACATCAGAGCTCCTGAAAAGCTAAAGACATCCCATGATGGACAACCACTTGGTATGCTCACAGTTGCCCACATAAATAAAGCAGTCAAGGACATGCACATATTGTAGTTGTCCAAAAGCATTGGAGATAAAGCAGCATGTTTTACCTAAAATCAATTAAAGGTCAAACTTTAGATTATTTTAGTGCTTTTTCAGTACTTTTAACTGTACTTTATTGGAGTGACACATGTAAAAGCTGAATGTTTGTGCTTAAACCCTCAAATGTTTAATGCCAGGATCCTTGATCCAAAATGTGAATCAAAATGTAATTGTAAATATCACATGTGATTTGTGCCTTAGTTTAACGGGTGCAAAGTATCATTGAGGGTGCTAGTTTTTCATCTCAGTTCCTGTTCAGTAAAAGAATGGTATATTTATTATGTAGTCACAATTATATCAGACGAGCCAGGCTTGAAGCAGTCTCTCTCCTTGCCTGCATCTGGCCTGAAATGCTGAAGATCCCCACTGTCCTCTCCCATCGTCTCTGTCCCGGTCCTGACCTCTCTAAGAGGAAAACTACTGCTGCGTAAATCCCGACCGCTAACGCTGTAAAACTCCCACCTACCAGCATCACCACCCCAGATATATACATGTCATTCAGTGCCTTCCCAGGTTTGGGCATGTGGTAGGAAAGGGCCACATCCAGCAGGACAGCTCCACAAATTAGCAGAGAGATTCCCGTGATCAACATGACGAGGACGTCAGATAAACCACCGCTTTTTAGCATGTTGATCCGGCGCCTACTACGCACGCAGTTCATGTCCTGGACAGCAGAACTCAGCAACTGCTTGAGAAGGACGGCCAGAGCGAGAAGGCAAAGAACAGTTCCGGCGCCCAGTCGCCACTCACTGGAAAGGCTGGTGGTAGTGGAAAGGAGGCCTACGCCGCCCAGACCGCAGCCTAAGATCAAGGCCACTGAAGCGCAGTAGCATAATAAGGATTTGCGTGGCTCGCTGAACCACCAGAGCTCCACCTGTTCCTCCAGGAGGTTCTGCTGGATGCGAGCCGGGTCAGGATGAAGGTGGCCCCGAGGAGGGGAATAGTCCTCCAGCTCTGACATGATGTTCACTGCTAATGGTGCTCAAGACAGGTCCCAGCTGTGAGAGGACACCTGGTTACAGTTCCTGGAGAAAACAAGTTGGAAATTAGGTAAGAAGATGCCATGTGTGCAGTTGACAAAATATACATTGTAAAAAATCCTGTTAAATTTATGATAAAAAAAAAAAACCTAGTAGATGTGGTTGCCAGAAATTCACATTAAAAAGGCATCATGGGATGGCATTTATGCCTGCATATTTCACAGTTCATAACTGAACATTTCATTATTTTTAATATCACTGATATACTGTAATATACCAATGTAATATACTTAAACATATAAATCTGCTTTTGTACCCTAAAATACATACTGATAACCAAAATAAAAATATGAAAAAGTGGTCAAATAAATGGCCACATGATGAATTAAATGTCATCAGGGTTAGCTACACTATGATGATAAGACATATCACCAAAATAAAGCTATAAACATTATCTAAATAACATAAATTATAACATTAAAATACTTTTGTGTACATAATAAAGTATTTATAATTATTTATACAAAAATATGGCACATCACGCATGGACTCACGGAGATGTCTTTTTTACTGTTTTTCACCATAAATTTAATAAATTGTAAAATTATATAATTTAAATTCTACTGTAAATTATATCATAATTCATACTAAAATTTATATATATATATATATATATATATATATACAGTATATAAAGAAAAGTATTTCAATATGATGAACAGATTGTATTGTTACTGAAATGCCTATGTTTTTTTGTTTTTTTAAACAAATTTGTCAATGAAAAACAAATGATCTGTGACTGGACTGGACTGGACTAATCATTATCAAATGTACATTTTAGAAGTCCCATCCGGATCTTGCTCAATTTGGCTTGAAAATCTGAGGGGTCAAATGCCATCAATGTCACTGAACAAAACAGGGAAATAAGGTATGTTCATCTGCACATCACACTCCCCATTCCCCAAAATATGCAAAGTTTAACTAAATGTTGCAAATATTATGTAAATTATTCAGTGGGGTTTTAAAACAGCATTTTAGAGTCAGACCAAGCTGCTTAATGGCTAAAACGCCAATTTATTTATGAGGCTGTTCTTAAAATCAATTTATTATGTGGTCAAACAATGAACACAAGGTTTTAATTGAAACACTTGTGTTTAGTCTAAAGCTTGTTAATGTGGCTGGGGATAACCATGTGGATGTGTGTGGAGAGAGAATAAAGATTTTAAGTAGTGTGAGAAGACAATTTCCCTTCTGCTCAGGGGCTCAGGCATTAATTCCCTTACAAATGGCCTGTCTCTGTGGTCCCCCTGACCCTCAAGGTTGCAGGACAGACAGCTTGTCTTTACAATCCCGTAAGTGGCTTTGCCTTCACAGTCAGCACTGCTGCACCAGCACACTGCATCTGCTCCTAAACTACATTGCATACATTATAATCACAGACCACAAATTGTTTTGCTTTTTATCCAGGACCAGTGACATTATTTTGCACTGTTTGTTCAAAGTCAGTCACTCGCACGCGTGTAGCCATAGGGATTGTGTACATGCAAGTTTGTGAAGCTTTGATAATTAAGTCCCTGTAGACCTGAGTCTCATATCACTGACATACTGCTTCCCTGTGACTGAGGTGAGGCATGAAGAGGGAAAAATTAAAATTCTGTTATTTACTCACCCTCATGTTATTCCAAACCCATATGGGTCCTTGTTTGGAACAAAAATTTTGCAATTGTAAAGAATAAAATTAGTCACTTTTTTCGAATGCCATTACAATGAATAGGGACTTTCAAGCTTCAAAAAGGAAGCAAAAGAAAGTATCATAAAAGTGGTACATAAGATTTATGCGTTATATCCATATCTTATGTGTGAAAAACTGAAAATCCCATCCTAGTTCTGGACACATCTAATTTGTGAATGAATTACTCTTTTAAAGTGAGATCTTTTCAATGAATCTGTTGATCCAGTTCACAAAACCAGTCTGAATGATTTGTTCATTAATCAGATTGATCCACTTCTTTGAGTTCAGCTCACTGACTCACTGATTCATTCATATCGATGGGAAGATTATCAGTGGGTAACAATGTAAATTATGGTCTGTTTCTCACAGAATTTATCATATGACTTGAGAAGACTTGGAATATAGTGTACATGTAATATGAACCACTTTATGATGCTTTTATAGAGTTTTTGAAAGCTTGAAAGTTGCATTATGAATCTCCATTTTGTGTTTCACACAAGAAAGAACAGGTTTGAAACACATAAGGGTGAGTAAATGCGGACAGAATGTTCATTTTGGGGTGTGCTATCCCTATAAATATTAATAATAATTATTAATGTTTCTTTTACAGCAAGTCAGAAAGCAAAAAATCACAACAAACACAGCACTGATTTTTACTGATTTTTTGGTTGTTGTACAATTTCTGCACCGCTTGCGTTCCCAGTTATGTCTTTTTAATTTCAGAACTTTTATGAAAATATCATGAATGTGATCATAGATGGGTGCCTTATGTTACATTGGTGGTGTACTCACCCTAAAGAGTTAGAAAGCGTCTGAGATGAGAGTGCTTCTCCACGTGGCAGTTTATCATTCACTGGTGTGTTTACTTTCAGTTATTTCCTCAACAGAGTGTGGAGAGAGAAAGGACAGCAAGGAAATATTCTATATCACCTTGGGTCTTGATTTGAGCGTATTATGTGTCCTTCACCTTAGCCTATACTTAAAAATCATTTCTAAAAAATATGACTTTCGGTTTTGATTCGCAATGGTTCCTTTCCTTGGGAAGTTGTCCTCTTTCCCTCTCACTGACAGGTGCAGTCCAGACTCCAAAGTATATTTTTAAGACTGCCTGCGTGAACACAACCAGGCTGACCAGACAGGTGAAAGTGTGCAAGATGTAATTCTTAGTTTTAAAGCATTTATAATTATTAGTAGTCAGATTCCTTTAGGCTGACATGGCTGATCTGTCAGTGTATCGGCCTTGGGGCTGGACAGCCGTCCAACTTAGCCCTCAATATAAAAAAACAGTCCACAGTCAGTTTGCCTGCAAGGTCTCTCTGAGGTTATTTCATAGGCAAAATGTCCCTGGCTGTCAGTGTGTGAGTGATCCACAAACCAGGACAGAGGTGTTCAGGTTTAGAAGCATTCTGACAGTGTACCGCCTCCTCTTTCTTGGATCATGTTGCTGTTGGCTATTGAAGTTTGGTGGTTTTCTTGAAGATTTAGAGCAAATGGCATCTTTCCCGTCAGGTGTGAATGCTGAGCATTGTGGCAGGCCAAGTGCGCCATTCATTCTCTGTTGTATCTTGGACTGCAGGTCTCCGATGTATCTGAAAAAGAAGCATTCATAAAGCAGGCTCTTGTCTTTTCTCCGGTCACCATACAACAGCTGATGCCTTGTCTAGCATACTCTTCTCTGCCTGGTTGCTAGACACAGACAATGGAGCAAGTCTCTGAGTTCTTCTCTTGGCCAGGATGAGACAGGTCACTATCTGTATGGAGACAAAGGAAGCAAAGAATTGACAGTTAGATGTGAAGGGGATGTGTAAAGGATATGCAGTACGTCTAATTCGACAGGGTTTAATGAATTGCTTTTGGTTGTTAAGGGAGGAAACTGCTATGAATCGAAATCTGAGCAGGGGCGGAGTTTTCTTTTTCCTTATAAGGTGAGAGAAACCTTTGCAGCAAGGTGGAAATGGATGGAAAATGTCCAGAAAACATTCATGAAAAATTCATTTGTTTTTTATATATTCTGAAGACTTGTTGAAAGTTCACTATATATTAACTCCTATGGAGGCACCATTTTAAAAAGTGTTCAAAAGTGTCACAAAAGTGTCAAAAGTTGTTCCAAAAAGAAGGGAACTTAATTATGCTGCCTTTTAAGATGCATCAAATAGACAACATTCTCAGTCAGCATTGCATGTGTTCTTTACAGAGTAATCAATCCCATAATGCACTGCAACAAGTTCAGTGAAATAATAAATTCAACATGGTGGACAAAGTGAGTGAAATCCAATGTATACAAATATTATGTGAGAAGAGTAGTATGTCAGAATTCACAGTATTCATAATGTGATGGCCCACTACTTCTACTATTACTCCTACTACTAGATTCTGAAGTGTGCATCCAATGGATAGCCTATCCCATGAGGCCACGGGAAATGATTTGTGAATGGCTGTGTAGCGATGCAACTGACACTGGTAGGTCACATGAAAATTACAACATGGCCAATATAGTATGTCTGGATTACATTCATATCACACACATTCATAGAACATACTTTTTATTGTCACAGAGTAAATACTTATTCAAAAGCAGTAACAGTTGTTGATTATGAGTAATTCAGTACCCAAATCTACTGATAAAACACAAATCAGTTTAATAAAAAAATCACTGATGTATACAATACATCAATAACCCTAATATAAGGTCTGATGGGCTGATTGTTAGCTTAGCAACATGCTACCTCCAAATCTGGAATAAATTGTGAGTTGAATTGTTGCCCATGTAGTGTGTTCAAAATCAGTCACTTAAAAGTTTACATATTTGTTAGGATACTGCCTTAGAAGGCAGCTGCCTATGTACAGTATGCTAGATTTTGGACCAGACCACATTTTAGCAAGTCTTTTTCTTGCTCAATTGTTAAAACATGTTCCCTTAAGATATAGAATATTTAAGAATGTTTTAGAATTTAAGAGATCCTTAAGAATCTCTTTTTATTTAATACAGATAGGCCTATTGCTCATGGCACAAACACACAATAGGCTAAACTCTAAATTCTACTCATTAGTATTAAATGAGTTATGTTGTGCTGTACCTGAAAAGGAAGAAATTAATCACGAATCACGAATCAATGAATCATCTATTTTGTATAAGATTTGGGTCCTGGTGGACCAAGAGTGAGTTGTTATAGTCATGCTACTTGCTGCCCCTCTCTCCTTCCTGCTTAATCCACATGTTATCAGCCTAAACACATGGCTCAGGTTACTGTCAGGCATAACCTCAGGAATAAACCACAAACAGCAGCTGGCCTGGACTGCCTTCTGAGCTGCATAAACCACTCTTGATTTTTCACTCTTAATCTCTTATTTCAACTGAGAGAAAAGCTCACTGTTTCTCTGTTTCTTATCGGTCTCTTTTTTTCCCGTGTTGCACTGCTGTTCTGTTGGCTAGGGAGGTATAGCCTTTTTAAAAAGCACAGCTCCCGCTCCCAGTGCTCTTTCGTTTCATCATAAAAGTTAACATATGCCACGTACCTTATTCCATCATTTCACTTCAAGACTCTGGTGTCATTACATCCTCTACTTCCATCAGTAAACTTGCCTCTAAAGAACACTCTTTCATTCCAAACCCTCACTGCAGCTTACCACTACATTCGTAGGAGGAAACAGAACACAAAATGACAGATTACTCAACCTTACTCTGCGCAAATTCTCAATGTACTCTATGTATGATTAACTTGACAACAATAGACCTGGTATGGCTTTTATGGGTGTGCAAATAGTGCAGAAACATGACATCAGTCATATTTCTCTAGAAACCTTTGTGCATGTCAGTAAAGGCTAAATATATACTACACGACTTTTTCTCCGATTTGCAGTCTGTATGCATCGACACTAGTTGCTGAAAGTCAAAGCCAATCTGCAGATTTTTGGTATAAAGGCTGGAATACACTACACGACTTTTAAAATGTAAAGAGATTTGAAAACAATAGGCATCATACACTTGACAGCTGTGGGCCACACACTACCAGACTTTCAAGTCACACCAAACAACAAACTCACACAGAAACTTGTGCCTCAGCCTGGGGCCCCAAATTGGCTCAAAATGTTGAACATGTTTGATATGTTACAACTGGATGGAGTCAAAGTCTCAAGCTAAAAAATCATAGTCTGTGCCCATCATACACTACGCAATTTTCTGTGAAACTCCAACTGCCCAGAATCTGGGCACTTTCGGCAACTATTCAACATAAGGCTGGAATACACTGTGCAAATAGTATATTTCAGCCTTAGGTTGACAGATTTCACAAAAATTGTGTAGCATATGATGGACAAAGACTCTTTAGTTTCAGACTGTTCCATCCAGTTGGAGGATATTAAACATGTTTGATATTTTGAGCCAATTTTAGAGCACATATTATTTTCATTTGTGACGCATTTCCTAGCAACAAGGTGCATGTTTCTGCATGAGTTTGTTGTATTTGGAACAATGTGAAAGGCTGGTATTGTGTGATCCTCAGTCGTTTAGTATATGATGCCCAGTATTACTGTGTAACCAATTTGGCAAGTGTATGATGCCTAGTGTTTTCAGATCGGTTCAGATGTAGTGTATTCCAGTGTTAAGGGTGTTATTTTGTCTGGTAAGGTTTAAAGTGTTCTGTATTCACTGCTGTTCGGTGCTTGATTTTCCTGTTTTGAGCACAGCTGCAAAATTAACCACTAATTAAATCCCCAATTAACCAGCCCGTCCACCCAGCTCCTCAAAAGGAAAAAATGTTTACATCTCTTCCTGCCTATCTCTCCCCCTTTTATTCTCAAAACAGTGACAGCATCCAGAATATTCAGTTCTGGCCTCGATGACAGCAGAAATGTTAACATAATCCATAATGAAATACAAAAAAAAGGGCAACTATCCAGCTTGGCCACTGAGCTCCATTTTCTCTGACCTGACCTCCATCTGTGACATAGACACCAGCCTGGTTAAGACACCTGGACCTGCTCCTTAACTCTTAGGGCACGGTTTCATTCTCACTGGCTGTCTCCATGTCTGTCACAGAATATTCTGGAATATACACTCTTGGGATGTTTGCATGTTACTGAGTGCTGTCATGCACCTGTCATTTTTAAGATCTGTGTGCTTATAAGGGATCTCCGAGGAGAGGATGAGGAAGGAAACCAGAGTGTTTTGGTTCGCTTGGCACCTGGAAGCATTAATTTGAGATTCCTTTCATTCCGCGCAGATGCATTTGTCAAAACTTTCTATCAAAACTCCAAATAAGGTTGTTACTCCTTTATATAAAAAAGTACTGGTGATACCATTCTACAGTAATGATATCAGATGGTGTTACCATGGAACCGAAAGACCATATTCACCTACCATTGTATTTATGTGGCACTCCAAGGTACTTCAAAGAATACCTTGGTAATATGATGGTACATTTGGTAATTTTTCTAGAACTATTTGACATTTATCTTTTTGTTTGTGCTTTTTGCTTTGTCCTATTTTGCAATGTCGTGGCTACAGAATGGCTACAATTATGTATCATTGTGGGAGTGTTTATGTCCATGCCCAACAATAAAGTAACAATAAAATGTAATAAAACTGCTTAAATCTGATTTTATATCCATGATGTGACATTTTGTCAACACCTCCAATGTAGGCGAAAGACCATATTAACAATGTTTTAATGGTAGAGAGAGGGTAACTATGATTAATTACTATCTTCCCCCCCTAAACTATTACACTGTCACTGTAAAGCACTGTTCACATTCAGCATTGAAAGGGCACCTACAGCATTAAAATCATTTTCTCCCCTTTTATTTTATGATACAGAACAGAAGGGAGGCATTTCCTTTCTTTCATAATAGGATGTTATAGAACTGTTATAGTTCTGCATCTCCTCTTTAGTATTTTGCTTTCATTTGACTTATATAAGTTACTCTTTAAACCACAATATGTTTGACATGGACATCACAATGTCCACTGTAAGTGTTATCTGATAATTATATAACTTTTTCAAATTTGGACAAATTTGTTTAAGATTAAATGTGTATGTTAAGAGTTATGTTGTCCAGCCAATTTCTGGTGTCCTCAAAACTCAGAACATATGGATTGGTCATTTGTGGGAAGATTTATTTTGGCCAGCTCAGAAATAAAATCAAAAATGGCAGCATGCAAGAATTATACTCCACACCTCTGACACCAAATAATTTGCACTACTTTTTCTTAAAATGTTCCCATGTTTTTATCTGAAATATCGATGTGCTTTTGCCATAATGGAATGTTACTCTTATAAGATGTAAAAAAAAGAAAGAAAGAAAATGCTTGTGTACTGGATATTTGCTTGCATAATTGCAAAAGGACTAACAGTAAGTGACCTGCTCCAGGAAATAAATGAATAAATGTTGCTCATTAGTATTATTATTATTATGAATAGTATAAATGAATAGTGAAATACTATGTATTAGTATTTTATTAAGTAATTAGATTATAATGTTAAAATGGTATTAAAATGCATTATTATTTATAAGAGATAGGGTAATTAAATATTAATAATTTATCTTATAAAGCTGTTGACGCAGTAGATACAGGAAATATTCTGTACTGGCTTTTATCTTGTAACACTAGTGAAAACATTTCACACAGTATATGAGGATAATATATTTAGTGTGCAAAGTCCAAATATCCATATACAGAACAGAACAGTTAGTTACAGTCCTCTTGTTTTAGGAGTGATGTTATTCTGTACACTCAGCTTAAACTGTGTTTAAGCCATTTGTGTGACATGAATTTTTAAACTATTTTCACTGGCAGAGAAAAAAAAAGTGAACTAGCTAAATTTGTTCTATGATATTAAACATCACATCTCAGTCCTCTAAGTATCCAGAACAACAAGTTCATAATGAGTACAGAACTCTTGTTTGTGTAATATTGCTTAATTTATAATTTTATGATTCCCTGTCATAGAAGAAGTTAATTTTACTATTTGATATGCAACAATAAACATTGTATGTTTATAAAGTTTCTAATTTTAGGATGCTACGAACAGATTTAAATACTTACCTTCCCCTGATTTTGCATATCAGTACATGAATTTCCAGAAGTGAACGGCAAAGGCTACAAATTTTTTAATACCCCTACAGAAGGAAGTCCTAAAACTCCAGAACAAAGTTTACATGTCCTGCGGTGCTCTATCAAGGTGTGGATCCTCCTATTTGTCTTATACTTTTATAACTCATGCTATGAGAACGTTTCCGTTCTTACCTGTGATGCGCTGGCAGGCAGCACACCATCCCGAACACATCAGCCACAAATACACACAGCAAGAAAAATACAGCCAATCCGTCTGAGAGGTGAAACGCGCTCAGCTAAAAGAGACATCAAGTTTAATGTAAGTCTCGCACAGTAATCCCGACCATATCAGGTTGTCATAGCGAATGGCGTTGCAGGTGCGCTGCTCGTTCAGTCCGGACTTTTGCCCTCCGCTCGGAGGTGTGGTCTGGTCTCTCCTCTCATTGCTACTCTGATCGCGCAGCGTGTAGTTCAGCTGGGAGTGTGTGTTTGTGTACGTGTGACCTCGCCGCGCTCTTCTCCAGCGGGACACCTGCAGCGATAAGAAGCTTCTAGTCCAAAGGTCTGACGTTAAATGACGCCAAAAGAAAACAGCAGACAACGTTCTATATGTTCGTTCATTCTGCTTCGCGTTTCAAGCGCTGCACGACAAAATACTCCTACCTGAAAATCGCTGCGGAGTTACCTGCTCTGTTTGTTGTAAAACCGGAAACCCTGTAACTAGCATGACCAGTGTTAATGAATAGATCACTCAGGCTACTGCAAGAATTGTGTTATTGAGATGATTTGTATTTGCTAGTATTCACAAGTAGCCTAATGGTGAATTTTCAGAACTCGCCATATTTATCTCCAAACAATTAGGCTAATCAGTTTTCAATTGACTGTGATACCCATTTTTATTATATCCTACATTAGCTATACTGTATATGACTAATAAGTATTATTCATTATAAATATTTTTAGGCCTAAGTATTTCCTATTTTATTTCAGTATATATTCGAATATTCAATGAGGGAAAACAGGGCGTGGCTTAATTTAATGCACGGAGAATTAATTCCATCATTAATCGACGGTTTGGACGGGACCGGACTGTAGGGGTTAAAAATAAGAGGGCTTGGTGATGCAGTGAAAAAGGAAAGTTGTTTCAGATGCAGAGCAAGTCATTACAATTTGATTCGTTTTTTTTTTTTAAATGCAAATCACTAGAAGAGCATATATTAAGTGAACAGGGTTATTCTGATTTCATATTGACTTTAAAGTAATTGCCTTTCGTAATTGCATTAACATAAACGTTTTACTTTGCACTTCATCTGTTCTCGTTAATTTTAAATCATTTTACTATTAATTAATCCAGCTGATCTTAATGATTAATCAACAAATCATTTGATAGCCTATGTATATAGATTTGCAATTGATTTAATTATTAATACACACAGGGGCTTTAATAGAGCATAACTTGTGCTACCCTATAAAGAGTGTTCCTAAACAATATTTTTTCTTTTGACTTTAAATGTGTTTCATCAGGCTACATTTTTAAAAACAATATTAGTATTTCTTCAGAAAAAAATACTGACATAAATTAATTTTTTCCCAAATGTTGGCACAGATAGTAGATATATTTCAGATATATTGCTTATCTGAAAATGGTGACACCCAGTGGTTCAGTAAGTTGACAACTTAGACAAGCATCAGTCAATATGTATTGACATGCAAAGACCACAAACCACAGAAGTCTGATTTTCCAGAATATCTGCAGTGAACACATTGTGTGCCATATTGTGTGACATCGTTCTCCCTGTGGTTCTGAAACGTTACCCTGCATTTAATATTGAAACTGGTGTCTCAATACAGTCAGTGAATACAGTATACTCAATGAAGCAAAATGCACCAGTTTGGGTGACTTCTTGATTTATTAGTATCTCTTATTAGAATAATAATGCATGTTTGAAAAACACATGCAAAAATGCATGTTTTTTTCACACACTTACTATGCATATAGATTGTCAGTCAGGGGTGATCTAATGCAAATATACAAATGCAACAACACAGTTATGTAACCATATTAATATGTAACTGTATTTATACATACACAACAAAACACTGCAGCCAAGGAACACACTCTCTTAGCTTGTGACAAACGTGGGCTTCACCATCTCATGCCTGATGTACTGGTCTTTTGGATCTTTGATGTTGTCCCTTAGTCTCTTGGGCTCTTGGGAGGAAGCTTATATATTTATGAAGGTCATTCATGAACCTGTGCTCCAGTCCCTCTTCATCACTCTCCTGTCAAGAGAAGGAGAAAATACACACAGCACACTTTGTGCATCATCGGCGACGTGAAGTTTGGGCTTGATTTGAGTGATGTCCTGCTCTTGGTGAGCCTTTCTGTTGTGGAAAGTGTCCAGTTCTTTCTCCATCCACCCAGAGGAAAGCAGCCCAAGCATTGATCTTTTTGTTCAGCCATTAGTGATCTATTCCCCCTCTGCCTCATCCCGGGTTCATTTGTATTCTAATTGCCAGGCCTTGAAGTGACATGCTACGTTTTGTACAAGGCTGTTTTCTGTCAATGCTTTGCCAATACTAGTGTAATGCTGTCTTCAGCTATGCTTTGATGTTTAATGTGCCATTTGAGCATCAAGGAGGTCACATTTATATGCGTATATATGGGTTGTTTTGTAGTATATTCATTAGGACATGAGTTAAGTTTGAAATCTTTTCTATATATGTGTTCACAAGACACCAGAGTCGTGAGATCTGTGGATGACCTCAGTGATCCATTCTAGCTATGCTTTGATGTCATTTTTGACATTTCATTTACATTACAAATTTTTTTTTTGTAAGACCATCAAGTTAACTGAGACAGATTTCACACTTAATCAGAACTTTATCAGTTTACATCATGATATGAAATAGAATTGTGCCGCATATGTGCATTTTTTAAAACTGCCACGAAATCATTACTTCAGTTTTCTACCCAATCGCTTCAATAATCTTATATCATTGATTCATTTTTCCCCCCTGAACATTGCTTTGCTAATTCTAATGATGTAAATATGTTACCAAGGTAACCTTATCTAGCTGGTTAACATTCATTATTTTTTGTTAAAATCACAAGGGTGGAAGGCTTCCGGTTTGTACGCACATGGAGTAGACGTGTGTTTCTTGGCTCCGCTTCAATACTTAAAAAATGTCCTAAATAAATCAGATTAATAAACTGTGCTTTGCAGCCGAATATATTACGATCTACAGCGCAATATGACGAAGCCAAATAAAGTTAAGAAATCGGAGAAAGGAGCAGAAGAGTGCGAAAAAGTTACCGAGGCTACCGCGGGTGGAGCTGAGGCTAAATCTACGCCGACTACAAACGAGGATCTTATGAACTCTTTTACTTATCTTGGTGTCATAATAACTAAAAAACCAAAAAACCTTCTAAGAGCCAATTGGCAAAAGAGGATTGATCAGTTAAAAAATAATATAGACTATTGGAGAACATTGCCAATTTCAATGGTAGGTAAAATGAATGCAGTAAAGATGGTGAGCCTACCAAGATTCCTCCACCTATTTCAGTCTATCCCTTCATGTATACCACAATCCTATTTTAAACAACTAGACAAGATCATTTTTCAGTTTTTATGGAATTATAAAACAGCAAGAATTAAAAAACAACACTTTTTTAAATCTAAGGAGAAAGGGGGATTTGGGTTACCTTTCTTTAAAGCATATTATTGGGCAGCACACTTGAATATATTCTCTTGGTGGAAGGATGATCCATCAGAAGGAACCTGTGAACAACCTGAATGGCTTAGAATTGAACAAGCCCTTTGCTCTAACTCTTCACTGCAGGCACTATGCAATAGTCCAGGAAAGGTTAGTAAGCTTATCTATAATAATCATTTTGTTACAGGCCAGTCTTTCAAAATTTGGAAACAAATGAAAATGTATATTAAAGCTCCTAATGTATATCTTGATAGCCCCATATGTATGAATCACTCCTTCATTCCCGCTCTTAATGATAAGGTTTTTTCGCTTTGGAAACAGAAGGGAATAGGCTGTGTTGGCTCACTTTATATGAATGGGTATTTCTTGTCTTTTAAAGAGCTCCAATTAAAGTTTGGGTTACCAAATTCTCACTTTTTTAGATATCTGCAAATTAGAGACTATGTCAGAAAATGTTTTCCTGATTTTGAACAACTAAAAAAGCATGGAAAATTAGAGGAAAAAAAACGATTTAAAGCCGGAAACTCAAAAGCAGTATCATATTTCTATAATGTATTAACTGATCTGGTGGATAGTGACACAACTTCAATTAGGAAAGCATGGGAGGAGGATTTAGGTTTCACTATTGAGGATGCGCAATGGGAGGAATGCTTACAGAATATACATGATTGTTCAATTAATACTAGACACAACTTAATTCAATTCAAATCTCTACACAGAGTATACATGTGCAAAACTAAATTGCATAAGATTTTCCCTGAAGTGTCACTGGTTTGCAATAAATGCAAGGTTGCGGAGGGTACACTTCTACATTCATTTTGGACATGTTGTAACCTTCACAAGTACTGGACTGATATTTTTGACCTGCTTTCAAAAGTGTATAAAAAAGATATAATAGTCCAGGAAAGGTTAGTAAGCTTATCTATAATAATAATTTTGGTACAGGCCAGTCTTTAAAAATTTGGAAACAAATTAAAATGTATGTTAAAGCTCCTAATGTATATCTTGATAGCCCCATATGTATGAATCAATTTTTGACCTGCTTTCAAAGTGTATAAAAAAGATATTGTTCCAGATCCAATGACTGCCATTTTTGGGGTGATTTCTGTACCTTCCTTTAGTACATATGAAAGACAGTGTATTTCTTTATTTATGGTTCTTGCAAAGAGATTGATTCTTCAGAGGTGGAAACTTGACATTGTTCCAACATTCGATGTGTTGCTGAGTGAACTAGCGGGCATTATTCATATTGAGAAGTTACGATTTATTAACAATGATAAGCTAGATATATTTTGGAAAATATGGAAGCCTGTATTAGATCACTTAGGAATGTGATAACTTTATTTATTTACGCTGGTTTTTATACTGCATTAATATACTACATCAGAGATGTTTATTTGTAACTACTAGTATACCGTACTATCGTTTTCTTTTTGGACCTTTGTTCTGAAAAAACAAATGTCATATTAAAAAACTAAATAAAGTAAAAAAAAATAAAAAAAATCACAAGGGTGACGTAATTGGAAGTATCACTCAGTATGGGTTAAAAATGATAAATAATAATTATATGTATTGTTATTGTCAAATTATAGAAATACAATTTCTGTATATCTGCACATTTTTAAAGAAAAGAATGTTTAATAAAATATATATGTTTAATATATTTTTATATATAAATTTAGCTAAAAATGTTTTGTTTTGTTGTTTTGTGTTTGTATTGTGTGTTTGTTGTTTGTTTTGTTTTGTCTTGCTTTTATCTCATTATGTCTCGTTGTGTTTTGTGTCTTGTCTTTGTTTTGTTTTGTTTTGTTTTGTTTTATTTTGTTTTGTTTTGTCCAAAATGTTGGCAGGTCAAGTGATCTGAACTACTTGGTCAAACTGGGCCACCAGAAAAAAAAAATCTTTATTGTTGTGCCCCAATCTTTTAATTTATTAATTATTGTCTGAGACATTGACATTTTATAGCCTATTATGTTTGTAGCTTTCTTCACTCAATACAATTTCTTCCTAGAGACGATAAAGCCCAGTCCAAGT